CCCGCTGCTCCTCCGGGCGCGCGCAGCCCAGCCGGGCGCGGACCTCAGCGGCTCTCCGCGGGAGCCCTGCTCATTGTCGCTTTGCTGGCCGGTCTGGAGCCTGCAGCCTTCTAACCCGCACAGGGTCTCTCTGTGTAGACCAGGCTGGCTGTCCTGCCCCGGAAGCCACAAGCAGAGCTGGTTTGTAAGAACTGCTCTTGTTCCACAGGACAGATCCGAGGAGTCCCCTCCGGACATGAGGGGAAGACATTCATTCATCAGTTACCATCCACAGAGTCAAACCCGGAGGCAAATAAACATGCATTCTCTGAGACTGCATTGATACACCATCGAGAAAAATCCCATCGATCGAGGCCCGGAGAGCCAGGGCCTGTGCTCAGATGATTGCCCACCCACCCACCCGGCAGTCTGTCCACACAGCCACATCATCAGCTGCCCATGAAACTGTTACAGTAGAACCCTGAAGTGATGTCAGCTAGGCAAGCTGTCACTCTTTGTACCCTTACCTCTCCCTCCCAGCACGAGGTGGGAGGCCCAGGAAACAAGAAGACAGGGGAGGAAAGAATGTGCCTACTCCATGTCAAGTAACTGCTAAATGTTTTTGCACATATGCTATTTAATTATCACAACACCCTCACGGGTTAGAGTCATCTCCACTATTTTACAGATGAAGAAAGAAATTTAGAGAGAGAAGAAATGGAGTCCACATTCACACTCATAAGCTGAAGTACTCTAACTATCAGAGTAGCTCGGTCTGCCCTGAGCTCCCTTTGGCTCACATTCCACTTAAAATAAAAGCAAAATTCTTCTAAAATTCTGCTCTGCCTTAGATTATTGGCTACCCCTACCTTCTTCCTTTTCTCAAGTGCTCCACCTCCTATTTTTCATGTATTCATGTTGACTCCTGGCTGCTCTTTGAAGAGGGGAGGTTGGCTTCTTCCTCTGAAGCTGTTCTCATCTCCAGTACTACCAATGCCAAATGCCTCCTCTTTTCTCATCGGCTTTGAGTCTTGTTTAAATGTCTTTTTTCCTAAAGAACATCTTTGATATTGCAGTATGCCCTCAATCCCCAGATACTACTCTTTATTTTTCTTCAGAAAACTTACCACCATTTGATCTATCTTAGTATTTTCTTTGTTTGTTTGTTTGTTTGTTTGTTTGTTTGGAGACAGGGTCACTCTGAGGACCAGGCTGACCTCAAACTCACAGCCCTCTGACTGCTGGGATTAAAGGCGTGTGGTACCATACCAAGCTCT